ATATAACTGAATTAATTAATCATTATTTCATACACAAATTGTGGCATGGTATTTGTCATTGGTGTATTAATTATTCAGAAGATACCTTCATTTTTTGTTTGAATTTTCTTCATAAATGATTTAACCTTATTAATACCAATTATACCAAATAGTGTCTTGACTGATGCAGTAGCAAGATTGGGTTTTTTTGCTGGAGTAGATAGCAGCTGTTTAATATCAGATCGATCATACCAATCAATCCCATATACTATATCCAGTACATTCATTCCTTCACCATTTCTTTTGTTAACATCAGCTCCAGCTTGTATTAGTGCCTCAACTAGTTCAATGTGTCCACATGAAGCTGCTATTATTAATGGAGTTGTACCAGTGACTAGCGGAGTATCTGGACTCATACCAACTTCATTAATCATGCTAATTAATAATCTTAAATCTCCTCCAGCAGCTGCAACTAATAGTTTTTTCTCATTATTTGGAAGAGTTGCTATTTTCTCAGACAAGTGATATATCATTGAAGAATGACCTCCATAACATGCAACAGTAAAAGCACTAATGATGTGTTCTGATGTGATGTCACATTTCTTAATTAAAATTTCAACTGCATCAAAATTATTGACTCCTGCTGCCACTGCTAATGAATGAAGCTTCTTATCATCAATAGTGTGAATATGATTAGGATGAGAATCAAGTAAAAGCTTTAATATTTTAATATAATTACCAGAACGTGCCTTGTCAAGTAACTGAGCATGTTGATCAAGAGATATGTCAGGAACTGATACAAGCATTTTTGTTATACAGTAATTTGAGAAAATTAGAGAAATGCTAAATGCACTCAAGCCATCTTTATTTTGAATGTTAATATCTGGATCTTTACACAGTAATAGTTTAACAACCTGGTGATGTCCATTGGCACTAGCAAGCATCAAAGCAGTCTCTCCATCATTATTTTGAATGTTAATATCTGGATCTTTACTCAGTAATAGTTTAACAACCTGGTGATGTCCAATGGCACTAGCAATCATCAAAGCAGTCCCTCCAACATTATTTTGAATGTTAATATCTGGATCTTTACTCAGTAATAGTTCAACAACCTGGTGATGTCCATTGCCACTAGCAAGCATCAAAGCAGTCCACCCATCATTATTTTGAATGTTAATATCTGAAACTTTACTCAATAAGAGTTTAACAACTTGGTGATGTCCAATGGCACTAGCAATCATCAAAGCAGTCCCTCCATATTTATGTTGAATATTAATATCTGGATCTTTACTCAGTAATAGTTCAACAACCTCATGATGTCCATTGGTACTGGCAATCATCAAAGCAGTCCCTCCATCATTATTTCGAATATTAATATTTGGATCTTTACTCAGTAAGAGTTCAACAACTTGAGGACGTCGAGAGTAAGCAGCAACCATCAAAGCAGTCCATCCATCATTATCTTTAATGTTAATATCTGAATCTTTACTCAGTAATAGTTCAATAACCTGGTGATGTCCATTGCTACTAGCAACCATCAAAGCAGTCCATCCATATTTATTTTGAATCTTAATATCTGGGTCTTTGTTCAGTAATAGTTCAACAACTTGGTGATATCCATATTGACTAGCAAACATCAAAGCAGTCCATCCATTATTATTTTGAATGTTAATATCTGGATCTTTACTGAGTAAGAATTCAACAACCTGGTGATGACCATAGCGACTTGCAAGCATCAAAGCAGTCCATCCATTTTTATTTTGAATGTTTATATCTGGATTTTTATTCAGTAATAGCTCAACAACCTGGTGATGTCCATATTGACTAGCAAACGTCAAAGCAGTCCATCCATCATTATTTTGAAAGTTGAAATTAGGTTTTTTTTCTATTATGGATTGAATAGTCAAAAAATCTCCTCTTCTACTAGCAATAATGAGGTCAGTGCTATCATTTTTTGGAGATAAACTAACATGAAGTTCCAACAAGAAATACACTAAACTTTGATTGTCATTTTGATGTGCTTCCTGCAATGTCTCCTCAAATGTGAATGACTTGTTTTTATCTTCCATCATGATAGGAATATCATCAATCATAACCTCAAATACACCTATCTTATATAGAAAATCTCTCTGTTCAATAACTGCTTCCATGAAGGGTTCAGTTTGTGATAAATGAGGCAAGAAATATGTACAGGTACAGCTGGAAGTATTGTAATGGGTTTCTATGAGGTTTAGAAATAAGGAAATATGTAGTAAGAAAGAGTTTTCCGTTTTATTTAATTCAGCAATTGTCCTTGAGCACCATGGCTTATTGAATCTCAAGATCAATTTTGAACAGCCAACACCATGAGGACTGTGCATTCCTCTAGTCATCATTGCTAGCTCCAGTAGGCTAGTGGTATCTTTGAACATCTTCAGGTTAGTATTGTATTCTTCTACCTGTTCCTTGATAGGTTCTGTGATAGTACATGGTATTGTGAGAAGGTTAATGTTTAAGCATGAGTAATGAGGTTGAAGCAACTGCAACAGTTGATGACCATTTTCACAAGTAGCATCTTCTTTGATGTATAATTGAAAGTGTTGTTCTGCTTCTGTTACCAAGGCTTTGCTAGTTAAAATATTAGTGGCTGCATCAAGAAAACTACTGTCTAATGCACAAAAACAATTATGCAACCATTGAAACTTTTCTTTTAAATTATTTTTAATAATATATATGAATGGCTCATAAAAATGACTACTCACTCCTCTTTCTTTAACAGCCATTTCCAGCATGTCTTCAACTGAAGTATCATTTCGTGGTATTATTCTTTCTCCTCCAATTGATTTGTATATATGCTGAGAGAGAGCAGTGCAGGCTAAACTGTTCAATCCAATGTATCCTTCATTGGTTGGTAGCTGTACAAATGGATTGGCACCATTTTGCAGTAACAATTTGAAAATTTCAATGTGTCCACCTTCACTAGCTAGCATTAATGCAGTATGACCATCAGTGTTCTGGTAACTTAGTTTTATTTTAAGTTTTATCAAAAGTAGTGCCACTCTCTCACATTCTGCATCACTGTCAATGTGATTGATGGCATCTATAAGTGAGTCTTCAAATGTGAAGTTACCATCTTCCTCTCTATTAATAATAACTTCATTGTTAATGATTATTCCAAATATACCAAGATACTGAATGAGCTGAATTTTATTTTGTACTTTGTCAATAAGAGATTGTGCTCTTGAAAAAGCCAAGAATGTAACAACGATAGACCCAACCTTAACTTTAATCAGTTTGACACGCTTTGCATCACTTTCAAAAAGGTAACGAATAAGGCTTTCAAGACTTTTAACTGTTTTATTACGCCAGCTCCCAGTCAATTTTATGATAATTTTACAATGTGCTTCTGAAGCTTCATGTGGTATAGGTACTTGCTCTATTGCATCCTTCATTTGTTGTAGTGCAGTTGATTTCTTAAACTGTTCTAATTCTTGTACATACTGGTCAAGCTCCAACTGTAACTCATCACAGAGAGGGAATTCTTTTGTAAGGTCTTCAATTAAATCAAAATTGAAAAAACTGTAATGAGTTTTAACTGAATGAAGTAGAATATCAAAACTTTCACAATTTGTTAAAGGCTCTTTTGTGAGAGGCTCTTCATAATCATCTGTTAAGTATCGAGTAAAATCTTTAATTTTATACTGCTTGCATTCATCATAGTAAGTTCTGATGTGCTTCATCACTGAAAGGAATTTTCTGTGAAGATCTTGCACTTTTTGAGGCACTTCAGAGCTAAGCAAAATTTCTGAAGGGATAAATAAATCAGTATTAGTTTCAATGTCAACTATAAGAGACCATTTCAGACTATGTTTATCAAAAACTTCACATTCCCAATCTTCAGCTAGTGCAATGGCTGCATCTTTAGCTGGACCACCTGCTTTAGCAAGGCAATGTACAAAATTACGACATTTGTTCTCTAATTTGGTCATATCTTCTTTGTAAAGAGATAATGATGCTACAAATTCATTTTCAATTTTATCAAAAGAAGGTGAGCTTTTAACATCCCTGCTAATAAGACCCTTAGAAAAAAATTCCACAGTAACAGATTCTAAGCAATGCTTAGTAGCATCAAATAAACAGGAATAATGGGCTCTCAACGTAGTCTGAACTGTTTTAGTGGCATTTATTTGTACTCCTGTTTAAGAAATAAAAGATATACAAGATTTAGATAACTTCTAACCTTTCTTGTTACTGTCTGTCAAAATTTGCTGAGCCAAAATGTGTTCATTTGCATTTAAAAGTGACATCATGATTGTTGACCATGTTATATCAGGATTATTATCAAGACAGTGTTGAGCTACAGCATTCATGGTGTCCTCTATTGATCCTCTCTCTTTGATTTCAGTAATGATATCTTGTGTCATGTTAGGAAGACAACAGGCAAACTGTTCCCAAGTGCCAGCAGTAAACTTTGAGCTACTCAATAACTCAATCAATTCATCTTTTGTTGGCTTATCTGCATGTGATGTATAATAAACACTAGACTAGTTCCTATAGATTAGCTTTACCTGTAAGAGTGGGTCCAGGATTAAGTTCCACATCTCCTGATATGAAGAGGAGGATGAGAAGACAAAAAATAGACAAAGCAAGTCTAGGGGTCTTCACTTGTGCAGTATTGCTACCACTACCAGCAGCTCCATTAGTTCCACAGTAAATGTTACCAGCACTACTGCTAGTACAAGCACTGTGGTAGGAACAATTCCAGAGTCCTATTTTAGCTCTCCACTGACAAAGATCAATCATGGCCGTAAAACAGTAAAAAGGACAGCTTTTCAGAAAAAGTAGGAGTAGACTATATATAACACTTGACTGTTATGACAACTGGTCAGAGATACAAGGATAGATGGATGACTGGTATGAGCAGCTTTTATAGCAAGTGGTGAGATAGTGATCTATCTACTCTACTAATGATACCATTTTTGGTCAAAATAAAGGTGTAGATACTTGAAAAACATGTTTTCAATAATTTTATCAATTAGTACACTATTTTCTGATTTATTGGTAATAAGGAGATTATGTTCTATTCTGATGCTGAAGGACTTGATTGTCTCTCCTCCTCAGAAGGAGCACTTCCATCAGAGAACTCTTCCTCTTCCTCCATCTCCTCCTCCTCCTCTCCTTCACCTTTATCAGAACCACCTCCTAAAAAATAAAATAAAATAATAATAAATATAATAGTCATCTAGTAGTAGGAAGATAATAAATGTACTGGCATTCAAAATTCATTCGTTTTTGTGAACAATAAATGTGAAAGTCAAAGTGGCATTTCCATTTTCAAACCATTTGATTCAAACATTCATTTATTTTAAATAGCAGAATTTATACATTTGTTCCATGATTGTCTAATGCAGATCTAAATGTAAATTCTTAGTAGTAATAATCAAAATTAATGTTTATTATTATTAATTAATTCCATTTACTTTTACGTGGAGGAGGAGAGACTGAGGGAGAGACAGAGGGAGACCTTCTCTTGTGCTTCTTGTCTTTTTTAGATTTCTTACTACTCCTCCTCCTCTCTGGACTAGGACTGTAGGAATAATCCTTCACTCTTTCCTTACGTCTGAAATAATTAAAAAATAAATAAGTAAAAATAATAAATAATAAAGCATTTATTCTACCTTGATGATGATTTCCTTCTCGGTGAATGAGATCTTGAACGGCTTCTTGATCGCGAGTGTCTCCTCCTATCTTTATCAGGTGACCTATAAACACAATAAAAGTGGGCGGAGCCATATGTTGCTATGGTTACCGGTGACGATAGGAAGACCGGTGCGAGTGGTAGGAGTGACGAGGAGGTGTCCTGGAACGAGATCGATGACCTCTTTTGTAACCACTCCCACCTCTGTAATCTCTATAATAAACAAAAAATTAATAGCTACTTAATAACTACTAGCAATAATAACTACTAAATAACCAATATTAATAACTACTTAATAATTGGCATTAATAACTTCTTAATAACTAACAATAATAACTACTTAATACATTCTTACCTCCAGTTCCTACTGTATCGTCTAGGTGATCTTGAGTAGCTCCGCCTCTTCCTCCTCTCATAAGGTGATGGTGAACGGTGTCTCCTTCTCTCATGTCTTCTCTCTCGCGATCTTGACCTAATAAAGACAATAACCACACCCTTTAATTTAAAAAGGTGGGGCTTACCTTGAGTGAGACTTTGAACAAGATCGTTTTTCTTTTTCTTCGTTTTTATTGGCACCTGCAACAGGAATATTTAACCCTTCCCTCACTCCCTCCCCCCCCCTCTCACCTGGTTCAATGACGTTAGTAATGGAGTGGCTGGCTTGTCTCACTTTCCTCATGGCCTCATCAACTTCTCTTTGAGCTACATCAGGTGCTTTACCTTGCGGCTTAACTATTGCATTTTTACTGTGATTAACCCTGAAGGAGAGAAAGAAAGAGAGATGACAAACAAAAACAACAAATGATTAGTAAATGAGAATGGAAGAGTATGTGTGTTAGTGTATGTATAAACTGAGCTGTCCCAACAGAACTATATTATTCTTTAAAAGTTAATACAAAATACATGTACATATTCATATCAGGTCTCCCTCCACTTACTGTGTTGCTTATTATCAGTTAATGTAAGACCAGTACTTTATAGTTAAGTGTGTATGTGTGTGTAATGAAATATGTGTATATACATGTATACGTGTGTGTGTGAAAAATAGTGAGAAAGATACTGAAGAATGGTGGTAAAGAAAGAAGTAAAGAAAGACATAGAGAGAAAAAGAGAAGGGAGAGAGAGAGAGAGAGGAGGGTGTGGGGTTATTTCTTAGGTAATGAGGGCCAGCAGTCTCACTGCAGTTAATATAAAGAAAACACAAATCACGTGAGAATCATGTGACCAGTAGAAGAGATCATGTGATCCACTCACTTTATCGGCCGGTCACCAAACATTGCACCATTGTACTGCAAAGCAACTTGTACTGACTCAGGATTAGCAAACTCTACAAAAGCAAAACTGAGAGAGAGAGAAGGTACAAGTATATAATTAAATAGATAATTTAATAATTCTAACCGTGTTGGTTGCATTTCATCTCCTGCCATCCTAACATATTTTATTTCACCACAAGTTAGAAAGAAATTCATAACCTGATCTGCATGCAACTGAAATAAAAGGAAAAAAAATTAATATATAAATTAAATCCCTTTTTCTCCCTTACTGTGCTTGATAGATTCCCCACGTATATGGTTCTACGAATCTCATCAATCTTTGAAGGATCAACATTACCAGTGATAGGAGGCATTGATGGTAGGACTGGAGCAGCTGCTGATTGACCAGTTGACCCACCAGTTGGTGAATCAGCTGCTGAGAATGGATCTTGTGATTGAATGTTAGCTGTAATGGAAGAAGCCACTGCCTGGGCTTGTTGGAATGCTGAAGCAAGAGGATTAGGTAACTATAAATAAATAAATAAAAATAAATAAATAAATAAAATACATAAATTAATATAAGTCTCATTGCTTGTTACTGTACATGCACAAATCAAATCATTGAGTGATGGGCATTAATTGGAGTATGAGCAAGACTTAAAGTTTGAATGTTCTTTAGATGCTCATAACTTGAAAAATATTTATTGGAATGAGCTCAAACTTGCTACACAGCATAAGGACATCAATATGTATCAGAAAATGTAATAAAAATTTGGGGTGATTTCGGAGCCATTTTTTGGAAAAAACCATGGGCTATAGCCTTGGGTATTTTTTAGAATTTTGACGTTTTCTTAAAATGGCCATAACTCGAAAAAATTTTGTCGGAATGAGCTCAAACTTGCTACACAGCATAAGGACATCAATATGTATCAGAAAATGTAATAAAAATTTGGGGTGATTTCGGAGCCATTTTTGGAAAAAACCATGGGCTATAGCCTTGGGTATTTTTCAGAATTTTGACGTTTTCTTAAAATTGCTGTAACTCAAAAAATATTTTTTAGAATGAGCTCAAACTTTCTACACAGCTTAAGGACATCAATATGTATCAGAAAATGTAATAAAAACAGAAAATCTACTCCTTCTAACTTTTGGTAAAATTTGGCCTTGGGCTATATGTGCTACAGTACAGGTGCTTAAACGAAACTTTGAGCAACTTTAAAAATTCGTATAAAATCTAATTTTAATCGGAATCAGCTCAAACTTTCTACACAACATAAGAACATGTATACGTATCAAAGGAGAATCATAAATCATTATTAATGAATTCAATAAATACCATTTGTGGTGTCCCCAGTAGACTGGTCTGTGGAGTGGGTAACAGAGGACCAGAATTAACTCCACTACCTATTAGCAGTGACTTATCAATGAATGCTACTGCTACAGCTGGTGCTGCTAACGACATAGCAACCGGCTTTTCTGGAATAATTTCTAAGCAAAAAATAAAAATTATATTAATTAATTAATGCCACACCCACTTAAAATTATTTAATGTTAACGCCCACACAATTAAAATTAATTACCGAATCTAGATTGAGCTACGACCAGTGCTCTATCAATGAATACAGTATTGCTGAGATGAAGGGCTGTCTCTACGCTCTCTCTCTCTTTATATGTCACGAAACAAACTTTAGAAGGAATCTCTGGCTTATTCTCACTAATAAAAAAAATTATACAATATAATTATTGAACTCACTCTTCTGGGAGTGAAAAAAAATCAATAAATACCATTTGTGGTGTTCCCAGTAGACTGGTCTGTGAAGTGGT